ACACTGACTGATGCGTGCGAGCTCTGTATATACATACCAACCCAGCCGTGACCGCCCGAATCCCGCGCATTCCCATTCCGTCCTTTGTCTCATCACATATGTCCCGTTCCCTCTTCTCCCAACCCCAGCTCCAGAATCCACACCGTACACCGGCGCAAATCGCGCGCTGGCAGTTACCAAATTAGGAACGGAAAAAGACGCGAGAATCCCACCACATCTTGCTTGCTTGGTTCCTTCCGATGCCGGCCCGATTTCCCTAGCACACCTGCCTGCCTGCCCGCCTGTTGTTTGTTTATTCAACAATAGATAATTAGGTAGGTAATCCAATTCCTTCGCAGTCAGGGTCACGGCCAAAAAGGCACGGAAGCGAATGACGATGATGATGATGTTCTGTATGTGCTCAGCTCATCGCTTTTGCCCCGGCTGCGACGTTTGCTTCCGACTTCGGAGATCGTGTTGTCATATTTGATCGGGCGAGAGGAAGGAAGGAAGAGAGGAAGAACGGAAGAACGAACGGAAGAACGGAAGAAAGAAAGAAAGAAAGAACGGAAGGAAGAAAGAACGGAAGGAAGGAAGAGAGGAAGAACGGAAGAACGAACGGAAGAAAGAACGGACGAAAGAGAAGAATAAGCCATTGGCATCGCCGGCATGGGGTTCGCTCTTGGTCGATGGACGGATAGATGGATGGATGGATGGGTGAGTGGATGGGTGCATTGGCTTTGGTATATATATACTCTACCTCCCCCACGCAGGTAGCGGTGCGCAGGTGTGAAATGAAACGGCAGAGAATCACGACCGTGCGACAGAAAAAAAAAACCGGCAGAAGGCGTGTCCGCTTCTCCCTACCTACCTCCCTACCTACCTCCCTACCTACCTACCTACCTACCTACCAACCTACCTCGCCTCCTGCAGGGGTAAAAATTTTCCCATTCCGGTCGGACGGGTGGTTTCGTGCGTATGTATGTATGTATGTATGTATGTATGCTCCGTCTACGGATGAGGGGGATACTAGGTTTCCCTAGGCGCGACCGTGAATCTGCCTCACTCGAAGCTTTTTGCAAAAAGGTCGCTAACGAACGGATCGGGTCGTTTGAGGATGGGTTAGGGCGAGGTTGATTCGGACGTTTTGACGACGACGGCGGATGGGTTGGGTTTTGTTTTCTGGAATTCGTTCGTCGATAATTCGATATCAATGCGCAGCGGGTTTGCGTTCGTCGGGGTGGTTTTTGGAGATGGATCAATGCTAGGTGTGTACATATATACATACGTACATACATACGTACGCGCGCCCTCTAACCCTCGCACGCCCCCTCACGCCTTCCACTGCCCGACCGCCACGACCTGACTCTCCCACAAAATCCGCCACGCGTTCGGCTTCGCCCGGCTTCCCCCCGTCGGGTCGTAGTTGAACAGCATGTGCCCCGCGCCCGTGGTCTCCAGGATCTTCTGCCCGCCGGGCGTCTTGGCGTCCTGCGCGTCGTACGTCCGGACCGTGGGTTCGACGCCGACGAGGGCGTTGACCGTGCTGACCATCTTCGCGATCTTGTCCGGGTACTCTTGGGTGCCGGGCTTCGCTTCGGATTCCGGGGTGTAGATGTAGGCCTGCAGGCCCGGATCGCCTTGGAAGTCGGCGGCGACGGAGGCGAGGGATGGTTGGCCTGGGAGGGGGGGGAAGGGGTTTAGTGTGGTTGTTCGAGGTGGGTGGTTGGAGGGAAGGGGTGGGGGGAAGGGGTGGGGGGAAGAGGTTTGAACGTACCTTTATAACCTGTGGTGAGGAAGTTTGTCACCTGGGTCGCGAATTGCAGTCGGTAGGTTGCTCCTTCCGGTTTCCCAAAGGATAAGCTTTCCCAGTAGTGTCCTGAAAGGTTCCCGGCAAGGTCAGCGGTGCGGATGGAACTGACGCGGACACAGTGGTAAAGATCTTACCGAGATAGACCCGTTTCTGACTTATGACAGCGAGCCAGGTGCATCCGCAAATCCCCCGCATGCCAAACGTGACAGTTGTGGTGCCGAGTGCACCCGTGACAGCTGTTGCGTAGTCGTCCACGTTGTCCTCATATGGAACAATCTCTTGACCCGTTTGGAGTCCGTCAACGTGGGTGATCATGTACTGGTCACGAGCCTTCTGGGTGTTTGGTGTAGGGGGGAACGGCTCGAATACTCGCTTTTGCAGCCAGGAACGATCCTCCAGTTGTCGCTTGCTTGAAGTGCTCGGCGTACCTATGCCACACATCGAGCGGCAACCGAAGCCCGGAGGTGTGTCATCAGCCATAGGACCGTCCGTGTCGCGGGCGAAGAGTAGCGAGGCATTTCTTTTGTTGCATTAGTCGTGAGACTTTGGACGAAAGGCTGGTGTAGGGGGCATACCTTGCCTCGATATCTGCATATTCATCGTAAGAGTTGGCTGATAGCTCCCTGTCGTTGTTTTCAGCTTAGATCCTTTCACATCGACGAGGAGGCTTCAGATCGATACCTCTCTTCGGGTGTAAATCTCTTCGAGTCGAGGACAGAACGAGCAACTGCAACCCATACACAGACCCCGAGCAGGGCTCCGAAGACTTGATGAGTGTGGAACCGCATATTGTGTTGAGGACAGACAATGCTGGCTTTCTCTTGACGACTTCTTTTCCAAGGATATGCGACACTCAATGAGGGCAGGTACTAGTCTTTGAGCCGAAGGAAAGTCAGGGAGGGCACCAAGAGCCTCAAAAGGCCGCATCCTCTCGATATATTTGATTCGCCTCCAGTGCACTTGGTCCTTTCATTTCCACAAGCTGTACCAACACAAGACGCTCGGAGTACGTTGTTGGATAGAATTCAATGACACGACTGGGGCCAGAGCTTGGCACACGGCTGTTTTGAAGCTGTTGGGACAACGGACAAGGCCAAGGCGTGCGGACCAACAGACTGCTATCCAGTAGTGAGAAACAGTTATAGAGCAAACCAGAGTCTAAAGCGTGTGTTCGGCAGATCAATGCATGAAACGATGATCCCAGCCGCAGGTTTGAGATGATCATACTTCCTCGCAAGCCTCACGATGTCGTATGTGGCACGAAAAGACAGCGAGATTAGAGGCACTCTGATCAAGTGTTGGTTATGAGCCACCTTCAGAGCAACACAATGGGACTAGCAGGTACGGGGCCAACATGGAGTGAGGCCGTTATGATGGAAGACGCCGTCGATACTGAGCCTCTTCACGCACGTACTCGCAGGCTGAAGAAAATCACAAATTAAGGAAGGAGAGCACCAACAAGATGTTGGGGTCCTGAAATCTGCAATCGAGGAGCAAGTAAGGCGGCGTAGCTGCATCCCGTAAGAGAAACAAAAGGTCCAGAGGTTGACTCTGTCCAAATAGTGAGATTTAAAGGAGTATAGTATTGGGCTCTCGAAAGACTCATCATCTCGGTGGCAGCCGTGCACTGGCATCAAACCCTGTGCTGGCTAGCGAATTTGCCTAGGTCAAACGATTATACAGGTGTGGATAGGCATTGGGGGCATGAAGCTGCGTCAATGGCATAGGTCCTGTCGACATAACCTCATCGCACTAGCTCCAGGTGAACGGCACACTAGCAGATTCTTTGATGGCATTGTGGAGCTAAAGAGCTGATACGTGTTTCTACTATAGTGATTAATCCGTACCTCCGACATGCACGCCACACACGGTTGCGAAAGGGCTGATGGAGGGTGTCAGAATGATTGTCTCCACTTGAGTGTTGGTGGAATACCTGGACGCCTGATTTCAATGCGCGTATTGGTATCACGGTGCCGATCTGACGAACAGCGAAGGTACCAGCTGAATGTTAGCGTTACAGGTTCGCAAAGCCTGCGATCGTCAGCGGAATTCCGTCGCTGAGCAGTGAGTCAGATGCAAAGTCAACGACTTCACTTCTTTGTGCTCTCTTGAACCAAAGTCGTTTATGATTTGCAGTAAAGCGAAAAAAGAAGGGTTGACATTATGAGTTAGATATCAGAAACACATGTTACAGTATCTGACGCGTCATCGACTTGGACCCACACCCTCTCGATTTGACAATTAATATCCGGCCCTTACGCCTTAGGCAGACGCCGAAGAGTCAGGTAGAGTACCTATGATGGACTTGGAATCGGTTGTCTATTGTTTTGACACCGTGTTCAACTCCCGTGGCTGCATCATCCGGCAATGCGACTGGGACGGTCGGCGGAGATGGTGGTGTGAAAGGAGGAATGATAGGTGCTGAGGTGAGACTAGGTCTACCGAGAGGTTACAGCAGAAAGCAAGCTAGCAGACGGCCCGGGCGGCGAAGCATACTTGTAAGGGACCTTATCTTGTCCCAGTCCCAGTCCCAGTCCCAGTCCCCCACGCTTGCCAACCTTCACCCTTAACCTTCATTTCCCATAGGCCGATGAAAGTATGAGAGTACCTAACCGATGCTGCTTTCAATAATAGTACTGTCATACTGTAATTCCTCAGCCACATTAGCTTGCGACACGAGTCAAATCCACTGGTCAATTTTATCTTACCCAATCGCGAGCTTTTCGCGAGACTAAAACTACTTTATCCTTCTTCTTCATTCTTACCCAACATCCACTTCGGTCTCGACAACCGACCGCTGCGTGTTGGCACATGCATTTCCTAGCCTCCCGTCTGTGCTCCACATCAACCTCATGCTATTGGAGCTACTACACTCACGAGCAGACTCTCAATTTCTCGTGATTGAATCTAAATTTGGTAAGGAATTCAACTTCTCCGTTGTCCATGTTGTCTAGACCCCAACCCGGCTCAGGTAACGCCGCCGCACATAGCAACCTCGAAAATAGACCCACGTTGGTGGGATGAAGCGTGCTCATTTCCATCCTTGTTTCAAGAATTCATCTCTTGTTGGAAGAGTAAAGTAGAGCTTATCCATTGCCATGATGCTCCGGTCTGTAAGAATGAAGTTTTTCTTATCTGTACCTGCATTTGAGCCTCTCCTATTTACATCTTTTGGGCCGGCGCAGCTTCTTTCCTTTGTGCATCCAGTATGTATTACTTTAGGACACTCTCTTGGTCATTGCTACTTCTACTATTGCTGGAGTCTAGCCAAAGCAGCGCTCAGAGTACAGCGTCTGCTGCAACGACAGCTGCATCCTTGTCAGCAATTCCGCCATCTTGTATCCATTCAAGAGCTCCAACAGCCTCGTCTGCAGCTGCAATACAGTCCTCACTTGCCAGCGACGCTACAATCAGCAAGGCCTGCGATCCTTCGATTCAACAATGGGTCAGCGGTAGCGGCACCACACAAACATACTATGCCCTTGACAGCGCCTATTTCTTCAACATCTCCCTTGCAGCGGGCGTCACTAGCCGTCCACCTTCCCAAGATTGTGCAAATAACTTCAATGCTATCCTCTCATCATGCGTGGTGACTCGAGACTATTGGGGAGGGTGGATCGTTTCCAATGGAATGAATTACTCAAGTACGTGAGAGAGGATTATACTCGAACTTTCATGAATACTGATATGCCCTAAAAAGTTAGCTATACACCGCCGAGCCCAATCTCCAGTGCGGCGAGCAGTATATCTGCCAGTACCGTGGGCTCAAGCGCCACTCCGAACTCTGCGTCTTCAGCAATTTCCGTCAGCTCTGCCTCCCCAACAAATGGCGCAGGTATCGCGGGCTCAGCGAGTAGTGTTCGTGCTTCTGGTAAGGCAAGTGGACCGTCGAACTCGAGCTCCAACTTAGGGCTTTCCCCCTCAAAGTCATATTGGGGTACCGGTGTGACAGCGAGCACCGCTTCTCTTGCAACTACTGCCCATTTCGGTTCTTCAGAAAATCCGGCCAGCTCCTCTCCTTCAGCAAGTAGTTTGAGTTCTGTGCCAGGCTCAAGTGTCTATGTCTTCGATGGAGTTACTTTCACAAGTGGACCCTCTGGCCTTGTCGCTGGGACAGCCACGGTCCAACCTGGAGGAAATGCCGTGACAATATCTAGTCATACATTTTCCCTCGGCCCCTCAGGAAGCTCGATGGCGGTCGACGGAACTATCAGCCCTCTGACTCTAGGAATCACGACAATGCTAAATGGTCACCCAAGTACATCAGCAAGCACATCAGTATCATCTCCTACGTCATCAGCGGCAACCCAACCTGGTCCTAGTGTCTATACTTTCGATGGAATCGTCTTTACCAGTGGGGCGTCGGGACTAACTGCTGGGACTGCCACTGTGAAGCCAGGTGGACCCGCCGTCACGATATCTAGCCACACTTTCTCCCTCGGGTCTTTAGGGAGCACAATCGCTGTTGACGGAACATTGTCAGCTCTAACACCACCTCAAGTGCCTAGTACCGCAGGCTCTGTCTCTATGTCAAGTCACAGTGCTAAATTGAATGTCTATACCTTCGATGGGATAGTCTTCACCAGTGGTACATCTGGCCTTGTCGCTGGAACTGCCACCGTACGGCCTGGTGGACCAGCCGTCACTATTTCGAGCCATACTTTCTCTTTAGGACCAGCCGGAAGCACAATCGCTGTCGATGGTACACTGTCGCCTTTAACGCCACCTCAGGTCTTTGCCACCAGCTCTATCTCAAAGTCTAGCGCCAGACTTGGACCGACTTTCACGCCTCCACCTTCCCCAGTCTATACTATCGACGGGATTGCGCTTACGGGAAATCCGAGCTCCGCTCTCACCATCGCAGGCAGCACAATCACACCAGGCGGCCCACCAGCTATTGTTTCAAGTCATACATTCTCAATCCCCGCTGCAGCCACCGGCAACGCAATCAACGTTGACGGAACGGTGACTCATCTTTCGACCCCAACGGCAACCAGTAGCGCCTCTCCAGGATCTACTAAGAGTGCTAGTTCTGCTCCCATGACAACCGGACCGTCTTCTATCTACACCATTGATGGTGTTACACTCACAGGCAATCCAACGAGTCTTGCTACTGCGAATTGGACTCTGACCGCTGGAGGCTCTGCCATGACAATCTCGAGCCATACTTTCCAAATTCCTGCTTTGGCTACGGGAGGTGCAATCAGCGTAGACGGAACACTGACTACTCTATCCTCCCTAGGTGCGATTGGGACAAGGAGCTCAGGGGCCTTGATGGCAAGTTCGAGATCTTCGGCGGGAGACTCAGTACCCTCCACGATGAGCCAAGGATCTTCAGCCAGCTCACAGCCTGCCATTAACCAGTATACTTTCGCGGTCACTGCCACCAATACCGCCATACCCGCCGGTTTCTACGCGCAAGCCAGCAGTAATGCTGATTGGCATTCCAATACGTGGCTCACAACTACCGATAAAAGTGGGCATACAACAATCGTGCCCGTCCTCGTTGGATGCAAAGTATGTGGGGCCATTGGCGCAGGTATCATATTATGGGATCTGCCCCCGATTCCGGATGTTTCTTTCTCATTCCCAAAGTTCAACCTGCCATCGTTCTCACTCCCATGTATTCCGATTCCCTTCATAAAGAGCTGCAGTTCGCCAGGAAACACGCCGGAAACTGGTAGGTAGTGCCCTACTTTTGCAGTACGATGCTAATCTGGACTAGATATTGATGACTCAACTCCGGGCAGCGATCCGAACAAGCCAAATCCCAATGATCCAGATGGAAACCCCGACGATGAAGAGCCGGATGAGGAGAAGAAAACGCAAGAGCAGCAAAGCGAGGAAAAGCAAACCCAGACAAAGCCAAGCAAGAGTACTACTCCATTAAGCACAACGCCTCTGAGTACTATGCCGTCGAGTACTACGCCTTCAAGTTCTATTACAAGTGGATCCTCATGTGTATTAAGTATCTATTCACTTACCCCCTTTACGGACCTCGCCACTCTAGACACGGGCGGAATCACCACATTCGGCAGCATGACTTCGTCAGGAAACGCCACCAGCGCATCCTCATGTGTATTAAGCATCTATTCACTCACTCCATTTACGGACCTCGCCACTCTAGACACAGGCGGAATCACCACATTCGGCAGCATGACCTCCTCCGGAACAACAACAAATGCATCCTCATGTGTATTAACTGTTTACTCCCTGACACCCTTCACGGATCTCGCGACGCTTGTGACGGATGATTCAACAGATACCGCAACAGCCTCTGCAAATGCGACAGCACCAATAACCCAAACCACCACTGACGCATCCTCATGTTTATTAACCGTATACACCCTGACACCCTTCACCGACATTGCAACCCTCGATACCGACGACGCCCCTACCCTAACTGCCACCCCGACCCTAGTTGCCACCCCGACCCTAGTAACCAACCCAACCCTGACCGCCACCCCGACCGAAACTGCCACCCCGACTACCACACCCCGCTCTATCACCCCCGCTCCGACCAGTACCCCCCAACCCGACTGCAGTGCAGTAACCGTCTCCTGGTTCTCACCAACCGTATGGTGCCAATGCGGCGAAGACCAAGCCACTTACGCAGCCCTCTCCTCCTCAAGCGGCGCCTCCGCCAACTGCGACCTCACTGCCCTCCCATCCAAAACCATCAACCCCGTCTCCGTCAAACCTGGCCCCACAAACATCCCCGGCGTCAATGGCCTCGACGGCTGTAACGCCGTCGACGCAGGCGACGAACAAGGTTGCCCCGGTGTCGACTACTGCAACTGCAATGAAGTCTACGTCGGTTTCCTGTCCGCCACTGTCTCCGGCACGGCGTCCCGAAACTGCGATTACACGCTCCAACCCACCGTAAATGACTGCCCCATAAACACACTCGCCCTACTCTCCGCCTCAGTCTCCGCATCAAAAGCCGCCGTTGCCCCAAAGCCTACCCCAACCCCCACAACCAGCTCATTCAACATGGCCAGCACGACCCTATCCTGCGGCGCCAAATTCTCCACCGACTCCGGCGCAATCTACACCTCGATCCCGCGCGCGCAAACGAACCAAATCCTCTCCAACATCGGCGATTTCTGCACCCCATCCGACAACGGCGCCGGCGACACCCTCACTCTCGTCAAAGGGAAACCGGCCTTCCACACCATGCGTTTCGACGCCCCGGGACTCATGCTGTACCAGTTCGAAATGCAGTGGGATCCCCGGCCCGAGTGCGCCAACATCCCGGCGCCGGAGATCCGCGACGCGGTGCCCACGGGCCCGGATTATTGGTGTCAGGTGTATTTCGACGCGATCACGAACGACTGCGATGCGGGGTCGGGCGACGATAAGCATGGCGGGATCATGTACGCTGATTGTGTGATTTGGGGGTGGGAGGCGTATGACGGGTGCAGTGGGGAATTTGCGAAGGTGAACGATTGTTAGTAGTTGATGATGGTACTTGGTAGTGCAGGGGAGGTGGGGAAGGGGAGGTGGTTGATGTATATAGTGTGATTGGAAATACCCTTGAGTAGCGCCATTCATTCCCACCTCGATTTCCATATGTGATGCTCCAGCGCTCACGGCGTCAGAGCAAAGTATCACATTCCGTCCATCGTTGAGATCTCCTTTCATACTAAACAGAGTCTATGTTTGTATCCCATACCCGCCTACACCATCAAACCAACCACTCACCCAGCCTACGACTGCTCCTCCCATCCTCCCAAACACGCCCGTCCGTCTCCTCCTCCCATCCCATCCCGTCACCCCTCCTCCACCACCAACCGCCAACTCCCCAATCTTCGTACCTACCACTCCCGCCCACCCTCCCCACTCATCGCACCACTCCCGCCCACCCTCCTCCCACACCCCCCAATCCGTCAAAAACCCCACCCCCCCTCCCTCACCATCGCCCCCACACCTCCACCCACCCCTTATCAAAAACATCCCCCGATCATCCATCGCCAAAAAGCCACCTCTCCACCTCTCCCGCTTTCCAGTCCTGGGACACATACCCAGCGCCCATCCCGCCGCGAGTAAAAAAAATTCGGTGTCGAAATCATGGAAGTCATTGCTTGTGATCTGAGCGCACGTGGTGCATACTATCCCGACGTCGTCTGACGACGTCGTCTGACGACGTCCAGGTGCCGGAATCCGAGCGCGGGCGGACGGGCATGTTTGGCGGGCGGCGAGACGGAGGTTTGTGTCGCTGCTGTTCATTGGGGGTTCTCTTGCGCTGAGGGTTTAGATCGTGTGGCATGGGGTCGTCTATTTTGTCGCGGTTCGTTCGCGATGAGGTTGCTATTCGCTGTGGCCGAGGTTTGGTCTCTGTGCTGTCTGTTCGTACCGATGTGGTAGGGTTCGTGTACGGTGGGTGGGTATATTCGGCTGATTGTGTCATTTGGGAGACGGTGGCGGTTTTGATGTGGATTGGTTGTGTGGTGCTTGGTGAGGTTCTGGGGGTCTGGTGACGAGGTTTGGAAGAGGAGAGGGAGGGTTTGGTCTGTTGGGCTGGGAAGATTTAGGGGGGTCGATCGCCTCTGGGATGTAGAGATTGGTGCGGTGGGTGGTGGATTTTTAGCTAGGGGTTAGCCGAGGTGCGCTCTTCAGGGGGATCCTTAGATCTTCGAGATCGCAGCTCGGAAGGGAAGGACGTCCTCAAGAGGTGTGATGGTACTTTGGTGTTGGTATTTGATTCCGTAGGTATGCCCTGAAATCCGTTACGTCGTCCACCGTCATGAACCTCATATTCCGCCCGCGTTCTTTGAATATCTCACCACGGCTCTCTAGCCCCATCTCTATCAATCCCCAATCGCTATCATTTGAACAGCATGAGCGAATCAAGCTGTCAGTCTTCCCTTCGTTCCACTTTTCAGATATCGATGCAATGCCACGCTCTGTCACCCATTCCTATAGCCTTTCCCGGTCCCCGAGCTTTTGTTATTCGGCTCATCCCTTCATTTCAACATTCCGATACCTGTACATTGCGATCTGTAACGAATCTGACAAAGGGCAAGTCGCTCACAGCCCGAAAATAGTTGCAAATCTCCTGGAGTCTATTTGCTGTACGATCCGCGATCGTCGTTGGTGAGTCTGGTCAGTCTCCAATATCTTGGTCTGCGCTACTCAAGTTCAACCGTTTTTGACGATGACGCCATGTTTGCTCTTCCTTCTATTTTCTTATGGAATATAGTGATCGTAGTACGCAGGTCTATCATGTAAGTGGTGTACCAAATATCCTGAGGCAAGTCGACCGTGTTGAGGTGTCCCATATTTTCTGTGAATTATTTCATCGCGTCGTCCTTAACCACGATGGCCTAGCGGTTATTCATTGCGAGTTTGGTTTGAACACCTGATGTGATGGTGTTCTCGATGGACGGCATGAGATTGTTATCTTCAATCGTTCGGCTTGAAGCTGAAGAGCCTTTCATGTTGGCGAGAAATGAATTTTGAATGTATAACAGACTGTTTGTCTGTTAGATTGATGGAATCGAGTGCCGTACTGTGTCCAGTGAGTTCAAGATATGAGAAATACGCGAATGGAAGAGCCTTGAAAAATGCATAAGTATGGCGGAACAGAGACTCGAATCTCGTTCTGACTCGGCTAAGACCAGACAGAAAAGAGCTTGGCAGGGAGAAGCTTTAGTCCACCTCCTTTCATGAGATTCTATCCCTGAAAGTGCCTCCAATGATTTCCCAGAACATATATCAGCAGCTGAACTGGTTTCTACTCCTGCCAACAAAGCAAATGTCTACACCGTTCTCTTCACTTCCCGAGAACTTGATCTTTCTTCTTTGTGTCGAATTTCAAACACAGCGGGCTGCTCCTCCTCCAGTGAGCCAAAGCATGGGATTTGGTTGTTCAGATCAGCAGTCTTTGGCTTCTTCTCAGCCAGCCTTACAACAGCACCGGGTTACAGCCCAACCACCAGTGTCATAGCAAAGAGTTCAAGCCGATTGGTTTTCTCCACAACGTAGTTCCTCTGTCCAAATGTGCCAACACTTCAGGGCACAATACCCTCAACGTCGGGATCATACTTCTCATTCATCCCTGTTTAGCCCCATCACTCCTTGTGGTCGGCAACGCGGACACCTGTAGCCCCATCCCTATTAGCTCTCCACACACCGCCCTCATCTCCACCAAATTCTTCCAACTTCCACACCTCAACCTTCTCTTTACATTCTTCCAACGCCTCTTCACCTCCCCTCCACGCGTCTTGTCGATGAGGAGCAGACACAGCAATCAGTATACTTTCCTCGCCGATTGGAACAACTCCCAGCCGATGAATCATGCTGATGGCCGTCAAGGAGTGCTTTTCTTTCACGCTACGCGCAATCGAAAGCATAGTTTGGAGAGCTCGTGGCGGGTAGGAAGTATACTCTAGGTGCGTGACGGGCTTGCCGTCGAAGTTGTCGCGTGTAGTACCTGGTAGCTTTTAGATGGATGTGGGGCTGAAGATGGTTTGAAAGCCTACCAGCGAAGAGCACAATTGCGCCAGCTTTGGGGCTCTTGACCTCAGCTATGATAGAGAGAGGGTTGAGGATGTCGTGAGTCAGGGCCACAGATGTGCATTCCTCTTCCTGACGGTGGCCTACGTTCGGACTGTCCGACATCTTCGGAGCAAAGCTGGCGTTCTGAAAGGTCGCAGTCTTCGGAGCCTCTCACTTGCGAGGCCAATTTCCCACCTCGCCTACCTATCCCAACCGCCCATTAGTGTAGCCTGGAGCTCGAAGCTCCAACTTGTGTCTGGCTGCATTGTTGGTGTGATATGAACAGCCTGTAGCAAAAAGGTACCCGAGATAAGTGAAATTCGTCACTGCGAGATGCTGGAAACCGCGCTAGTGTAGATTAGATTAGGGCATTTGACCTGAGGCTCCTCTCAAGACTAGAGAGTGCAAAGTGAGTGCAGTCATGGATAGGCAGTCAAGATGGATTCACCACGCTACGGAGCAGGCAGCACCTCCTTGGTGAGACGAAATTTCAGCCTCCCGAATGAAATCTCTCTTTCCACCGTCCAAAGTCCCATCGACCAAGCTCGACAGCGGTATCTACAACAATGTCTCAAAAGGCTGGGTTGTACCAAGAGCATACCAATATCCCCAAAGCACATCTACCTATCGTCGGCAACTGGGATAGTGCTAACACCACTATTGGCGCTGGCGTGGCTATCTTCCACCTTGCCTCCTCTCGTGTGGTTCTCTGCTACCACAGCACCAAGAATTACTACTTTTTGCCCAAAGGCCGCCGAGATGCTAGCGAGGATACGGGTTCCGGTGCCGAAAGAGAAGGATTCGAAGAAGTGGGTGCCTTGTTCAACTAGGACCTGAACACTACGACTGTGTGTTGACTTGTGCAAAAGTCAGGCTACCGTAACCGTCTTCTCCCTCTTCCAATACCCACTCGCCAACCCAAAGCCCACAATCCCTCTCCATCCAGCGCAGCAACTACGCCCTTTGTGACTGAGCCTGTCTGGACTCAATTGGTTCCAGTCACGAGGACAGCGCAGTATATCCTCTTCTGGTACATAGCCGAGACGGTGCCCCCAGATCTTGAAGTCTCACTGTCAGCGCAGGAGAAGGAGCAAGGCATGGCTTACCAGTATCCGCCCAAATTCAGTCCCGAAATGACTCTCAAGGAAAGGATGGAAATGGAGCGAGAGGGCTACGAGCCAATCAGACACGAAAACACAGGTGTGGATGCCGAGGAGGCGTTGTACGAGAGTTACCTTATGCCTGTAGAAGAAGCTATTGAGAAGTTGGGCAGGGGCATCTCTGCGGACGTGGTGAGAAAGGGATGGGAAGCCATTCAACTGAAACATAAGATGGAAGACGGTCGGTGATAACTCAAGAGCACAGCGCTTGGTACCTGGGGATCGCAGTGTTGGAGTCGTATTCATACCTGACTCAACAGGCAATGGTCTGAGTGAGATAAGGGACTTTCTGTGTGAAACCCCTTACACACAGCAGTAGAGGACAAGAATGGGCGGAAAGTACCCTTACGTCTTTGCACACCCTGTGAACAACCTGTAGATTTAGCAGTGCATAGTTCAGTACCTTCCTAAAGCCCCTGTTGATAGACTCGCTGCCTTTTATATGCGGCCATAGTGAGTCGTTCTACGTTTATAGCCGATGAAACTTTAGAAGCAGGCCCAATGATTCGCACATTTGAGAGGGGGATGGTTCCGCTTGTCAACAAGGTTGTAATCCTCGACTCGAAGAGATAGGCTCAGCAGGAAGTGAGAATGAGTTGAAACTAAAAGCAGGGCAGTCACGGTAGCTCGTTTAGAAAAGATACAATTTTTGTTTTTTCACCTACGTCCGTACACTCTGCATTCATCGGAACACTTATGGTAAACGTGATTTGCCCTTCGCACCCGTCCAACCCTCTTCTCCCATCTGCTTACAAGCACCGGTTTCAAACACCTCAGAAACCACCTATGGCGGACGAGTAGACCAGAGTTCGAAAGGCCCACCCAATATGTAAGAATGCTATTCACAGCCGTCAAAGTATGATTGGGACTGTCTGAGCGCGAAACGTAAAACACAGATCGGCAGGGGAATGACGGAGTGAACGCAGCACACGAGATGTTCACAAAGTATTGAACACCCATAGTACTCTGTTATCAGAGCTGCAGATAGTATGAGCCGCACACACATAATACTCGGGGTGCACTATCCGAATCGGCATTCTATACCGAACCGTCTCGGATCAGGGTTGCATCTCGATGGAACGAAAGATTGACAGAACATTGCGGCTCAAAGTGTTGCTCAATATGTGATTTGGTTCGCATTTGGCACGGATTTGGCCCGCAGCACTCTCGAATGCAGCAAGATGATTGCCTACTACACACGGGACAACTTAGATTGGAAGTGCTATTTTTTCTTTATCAAAAAAAGTGGAAAGGCGCAGAAATTCGAAAACCTATGATTTTTTTGCAGCTGTATCCTACACCACTCTTCAAATCAGCTCATCTCGCTCTTGACCGGTCTATCATTCGACAAGAAAAAAACGCCACTTACCAAATACACCTGATAGAACTTCATCCTCCAGCCTCCCAAGCCGCCCACTCCGCCCTCTGAGCCACCATTCACCAGGAGCGCTCTAGCAGCCCAGTCTTTGCCATCACTACCGCCTTCTTTAAACCCGTACTCTACAGTACCGTAGAGCATGACCTCCGCTTCAGACTCCGACACCGGAGCAAAGGGGAAAATCTTTGTCGGGTGGTGGGAACGGGACGAGACTGCTGACCACATGTTCTGGCGGAGGGAGAGGATTCCTGATGTTTTGCACGCGTCAAAAGCAAGCAGAGTATACAACACAATACAAAAGCGGTTTTTCAAGCCTTTGGAGCAGGCTCGTTTTCTATATGGAATGCAAGTAGAGCAATTCGGAATAAGCGAAGAGACCTCCTTACCATCAGACCCTTCCACCTTGGCACTTGCCATTACTAACACGGCATCTTTCGTAAAGCAATCTACGTACTTTTCATGTGCCTCAGGCGTGTCGGAAATCTTGTAAAAGGTTTTAAAGAACAGGCGGAGCGAAGAAGGGACTTCGGGGGTGGGGGGATATAATGATTCATATTGGTCCATTGTGCTTTGCTCTGCTTGGGTAGCTGCTCAAAACAGAGGGTGATAAAGGGAGGATAAAAGTAAGGAAGGTCGAAAACCTAAAATCGGAAGCCATTCTAATGAGATACTTGAGGAGAATCGCGGAGGGAGAAGCCGAAGGGTTGGGAGTGACGTTTGAGGTGCCAAGCCATTTAGCGTATTCAAAAACATCTGGAATGCTTGGCACCGGAGATCTTTCACACCACACACCCAAATTCGTACTGTAGCATAGAAATCTCTCCGCAAAATTATTCAATAACACTACTATCGTTAATATAGGTCCCAAATGAAAAGATAAAGCTATACTGAAGTCTTGGTATATTCCTCAGTGTTAGCAACTCAGCTAAAAAAGCCTGGTCCCGGGGTGTCTGCGCTTGACAGTCAGACACCCCTATTTGGACCCAAATACTTGGCCGCAGGGCCTTCGTAGGGCCCCCGTAGGGCCCCCGTAGGGGCTGCTGCTAACACTCAGCCCCCCATTTATCTGTTTCTGAGCTTCTTAAGCAGAGGCTATTTCAGTAGTTATGGGGGGGTAGTTCTTACTGCGACGGCGACTGAGGGGCGGCGACGGCGGCGGTTTGGTGGCTGCTGCGTTATTGGTGCGTTTGGGAGGTATAGCTGAGGTTATATAGCTTCAAAATTGATTAAATGCGACTATTTGCGATGTGGCTACTTGATTTGAATGATTTTGCGGAGAGATTTCTATGCTACATTACGAATTTGGGTGTGTGGTGTGAAATATCTCCGGTGCCAAGCATTCCAGATGTTTTTGAATACGCTAAATCGGAAATGTACCCGTCCATACCTGCTTTAGGGTCTGCGCCGCTTTTGATTCGCGTACAATGGTACAATACAGCGTAACGCGGGTACTTGTAAGGATTGCGCGAGCTGACTCGGGAACTATCAACCCTTATGTAGCTGTTCCAGGACAGAGCAAGAGCTCGAAGCTACAATTCAGCGCTTGGAGGAGAAGATGTTCGACAAACGCCTGGCGACCATGATCTGTGAGACCTAGCTAAAGATGTTCGAAGGAGATCTTTGGCTGCAGATAGATGTAGATCTTCCAGAGAACGAATACCCACGTCAGAGAATCCGTCACGCAACAGAGGACGGTTTGCGCCAAGCAGCTAGGGAGCATTGTCAGACCTGCACGTTGATCTGGCGCGCACTGTTAGATAATGAGGCGAGAGCTCCGCAGAGAGGCTCGAGCTTCACGCAATATAGATTTCGGGATATCGTTCAAAGTTTTTTCTGGGCACGGAAAATCGTGTCGACGACGGAGACCCGTTGCTACATATATGTGTGTGGTACCTCTTTATTCATTAGAGTGTTCTGCTCCGTTTTTGAATGACACTGAAACTGGGCTGATAAACGTGTAGTTCTCCTAAGTCCTTCGTCGTCAGGCTTACATCCAATTCCGCAAGAACGAGAGGTAGCTGTATCGGACAATACTGCATCTACTGATTGTTTCATTCAAGTCAGAAGCTGGATGTCGAATTGTCTTAGATATCATCAACGTTGTGGACGATCTGATCACCGAGCACTATACGACTTTTATCCGACACGACTACTTGACCTGCAGCCACAACGCACTGACGTCGAACTTTGCCTGTGCATAACCCATCAAAATCCACCAGAGACACCTTACATGACCCTTGGTCGTTACTAGTACGACATTGAATACCTCAAGGCGGGCTTCAAACTCAGAGAGCTTCCTAGAAGTTTTCGAGAGGCTATCCAAGTTACAAGGGAGCTTAACATTCGCTATTTATGGATGGATGCTCTATGCATTCTTCGACTCGACGGAGGACTGTCGTTACGAATCCGCTACGATGATGGAAGTTTATCAAAATTCGCACTGTAATATTGCAGCAGCGGGTGCTTCTGACAGCGAGCAAGCTTGCTTCTTCTATCGCGATCTTTCACTCATACCTCCAATAACGTTTTAAACGCGGTGGAACAACTTCGCACATAACGGATCCTACCATGTGCACCCTAGTACTTTTTGGAAACTTTATCTTGAAAAGTCGCCGTTGAATCGAAGAGCATGGGTGGTCCAAGAGCGTGTTTTAGCTCCTCGTTTTATACATTACAATCAAGAGCAGTTGTTTTGAGAGTGTCTCCATCTCGATGCGTGCGAAATCTACCCAGATGGCTTTCCACGACCCACGTCAATCCTACGACTGAAGAGCTTTGATTTGGACACAGAAGTCTCAAGTGATAGAAAGCGCGCTCTGGGATCCCGCCGCAATGTTGTGGCAGCTTGTAGTGGCCGCAATTTGACCAGAGCCGAGGAGGATAAGTTGGAAGTCTCAAGTGATAACAAGTACGTTCTGAGATACTGGCACAAGATTGTGGAAGCTTACAGTGGCTGCAAGTTGACCAGAGCCGAGGACAAGTTGGTGGCGATATCGGGCCTTGCAAAGCGAGTGCAATCGTTCTTGGGCGATGAGTACTTAGCCGGTCTATGGGAGAAGGCTCTGCTATATGGACTTTTGTGGAGAGCTCAGTGGGAGGATCTCAAAGAAGAATACGCTTCCTTTCAAGCGCCCACCTGGAGCTGGGCAAGTGTAGATGGTTTCATATTCTATGACGACCTCATGATTCTCTGGGACGATGAAGAAGACCTATCCATTAAAATTGTCACCATCTTGGCTTCGGGTGTTATATCTGTTGCGGCTGATGTCACTGGACAAATCAAAGTCGGTTTCATCCGCTTGAGCAGCACTTTGATTGCAGCCCGTATCAGAGGAAAACAATCTAGCCTTTCCCCAAATTTTGATTGTATCCTCGATTTGCCGGTTTTCAGGCACGGTGGCTACTGGTACCCACTTTTTCATTTTGAGACAATTGAACGCCGAGCAGGGATTTTCGTCTTGCCAATTTGGATAGTAATAATTGATGGGGAGGGAAATCGAAGTCTAGCACTCAAAACTGTGGATCCCGTAAACAACATCTACAAGCGAATTGGCTGCTTATTTCTCCGGGAAAGGGGGACCAGATACGATGACATTCGCTGGCCCGATGTGGTGGCAAGGTTCGATAAGCAGACTTTGACTCTGTTCTGAATGAGTCCAAGCCTCCAGTTCATGCTATTTGACCTCGATATTGTGGTAAGGCGCAAATCGCACAATCTCTGATGTAATGCAGAGGTTGTACCTAGCACACAAGCACAAGTCTACTGTTCCTCGTCAAGGCCCCGAGAACGAAATTCTCAAGCACTTTGGCATTGGTTTTCGAAGACCGCAGAAGTCAACATTTCGGTTTGAGATTATACCGAACGTTCGGTCGCGAATGATTGATATTTCACAATGGCATCACACTCGGCAAGTCGCATCTCTTTGCATCTTCATGCTAGCTCTGGGTGTTTCAAAACTGCCTGCCTGTATGTACCTGTATGCAATCCGAGACACCCATTCACCTCGCCCGCTTATTTTTAGACCTTCCCGGGTGCAGCTGTTGACGAAGTATCATAGGTGGGAAAAGCTGTTGGATCGCCAAGACAGAGAAGACCGGTTCGATTGCTCTTGACTCATCCTATCGAAGTTTTACCATACGGCATTTGCAGGTTTAGTACCATGATTGAAAGCTTGGCATCAAAAATTCCTGCGCACGATGAACATTATTAATTGCACAACTATAATTTGAATCGTAAAGATTTCTATATATAAAACAAAACACTTATCGCTGCGACCTCAAAGCTGTTACAATACATCCAATCTACAAGGAATCAAGTAACCTATAGGATTGCAAATATACTAGAATTGCGAGCGAGGTCAATCGAGAATAACTTCATTTTTCTTTTAGTCTCTAGATACTACTAAACCAGTAATCTGAATCTAAACATTTTCTATTGAGAATTCTAGTCAATTCTCTTACGATTTCAACTCCGCTAGAAATAACAAAATTCGAATTAAAATTATAAAATTCATAATCGGATCTGCGTAGGAATCTCTGATGCCAAGCATTTGCAACGGTTTTGAATACGCTAAATACAGTGCGTGGCCGCCCCGGGAGAGGTCCGCTTAGCGATCTCGGGGCTGATCATGTGGCCCGACCGGCGGTCAGCTCGGGGCAGCTTTCCGGCCTCCAGACAACGAGCAAGAGAAGCGCCCGGGTGAGAATAGTACGCCATTCATAACCGCCCTCTTCCGCGCTATATTGTCGTCGTCGAAACTCGCGCGGCGACGTGGCAGCGCTAGACGGTCGACTGCATCCTTACAGCTGCCGAGGTAGGTATGAGCGGGGCAAGATAGCTCTGAGGGGAGCGCACGTTGCGCCAGGCTGTTGTCCTTCTTCTGCACGCTTCTGAAGCGTGGATAATGAATCCGAGGGATCGGTGACCGTGGAAATTGGCTCCCATTGATTGGTAGCATATCTCAATGGAAGACGTATGCCAAGTATGGTTTCTGAGAGAAGAAGCCTATCAAGTTCTGTTGCCCTATACCCTAAATGCAACGCCTATCGTGACTGATACAAAAAGGGCTGGCTGCATTTGCCCCAGCTGAGCTTATTTGTTATAAAGCACAGACGTTTCTAGAGTCCATTCAATTCTTCACATCTAGGGATCAAGTAGAATCACAAGCAAATGGCTGATCGTTATCAAAAACTCGAAGGTCAAGAACCTTCTTACAGCAATGCACATCTCCAGGAGCTGAACACAGCTTTTGGCGAGTCCGAGAAGACTCGTACGCCCCTCATCCGGCAAGGGTTTTGGTGGCTCGTGACAGCGATTTCCTGCGCTTCCATCCTTGTAACGATCAGGATCTTTGAACAGAAGGGTAATATCACCAATGTTCAGAAGCATACCTTCAACACAATCATTACAGGATTGATTCTAGGGCTGGGACTGAACTTCTTTGTCCGTCATCACTCTCATATCCTCTACGAGATGCACAGAAGCTCATCAAGTCATGGCCTTCCAGGAGGTGTTCAAGTCCTTCGCTATAGCCTCGAGAGAGAGAATTCTAGCGCAGCCGTACCTCAGCGATCAAGAAAAGGATTTGATTAGAGATATTGATAGCCTGACCATTGTTTGCGTACTTGCGTGGACATCCCGTAAAAAAAGGATTATGCTGTTCTGTGTCGCTTGGGTAAGTCACTCCTCAGCCTCCTGAATCGAAACTTTATACGTTCAACATGGCATAAGCTTTTGCTTAGACTCACTTCCTACAAGCGAATAGAGTTTTCTAAGTTTGCATCTTGCTTGCTTTGCGTGCACGCGTGTTGGCTTCGAGCATGCCAGATCAAGACCCCAAATCGTGCAGTAGACATCTGATGTCGAAGGAAATTGCTAACAAGGGTCCTAGATCTTTGTGAACATAGTGAGCGTACCGATTCTCTCGCAAGATCATCTAGCTGATGTGGCATGATCAAGCTCGCGCAAACATCCGTCGCAATCATCAGTCTAACGTTCTCGATAGATGATGGCACAAGCTACAATGGTACCTACGTAAGACCAGGTGTTGTAGATGCAACTAACCTCACATGCTATTTCGACTGGTTCAATCATGGGGGGTGTGGTGGGGCTATTGCAACTCAGTCTTTAGCACACGCATACGGAGACATAGCCTTGAGTTCACGTTCAGACTGCGGCATTTATACCGATATTTCGGACGTTCTGCAATCCAAGAACAATTATGGATATTATTGCAGACGGATTCCTCACCAATAGGAATTTGCCTATCGGTTCAATGAGTACAATCCTAGAGATAGGACGAGAGCCTACCCGCGGTTCATGAACCGGACAATTACAGCGTCCGCTGGCGAATGTTTGAACTACTCAATGGTCGGTGTCCCTTCAAGTCAGCCGAATGGAGACTTGCTTTACAAATACACGAATGGTACATTCAGCGACAATATTACCATTCCAGCAGCCTACGGGGCTTATGACGGGACCACCTATGTATATCGAGGCATCGACATCCCACAACAGGAGAAGAGATATGCTTGTGGTCCTCGATGCATAAAGGTATGGGCTCATAGGTCCATAGGTCAAGGCGAGAGTTCTACCTTTTTTGAGTGTCCCATCACCGTCAACGACGTCACCAACGTCACCAAGACGACGACAAACTCTCAAAGCCTCCCAAACGACATGGCTCGATTTGCTGCCGCGTCAATTGCGCTACAAGGTCGTCCGACACTCCTCAACGGCTAAAACATTCGGATACAATACCAGTTCATTGCTTTCGGTGAGTCACAACCACTTTACTTATGTCCTGGAGCAGAAGCCACTGTGCTGAGTCCGGCCATAGCACTGCTTATGAAACGCACTTCATAAAGGCTGACCAAGTCGGCGCCGATATGGCTGAATTTGCAATCGGCTCGCTCTCCACGATGGCGTCTACCAATCACCAAATCCAAGTTGAGAGTCTGGTGCCTCATCTTGGTAGTCGTCTGACAGTGCATTGGTACTATGTTACACTTTTGCTTGCTGGTATTGCTGGTGTCCATCTGGCGCTCTTCATCGCAACTGTTGTTTTTGAGGCTGGGCGATCTTGAAAGAAGACTAGTATGCTCGCTTTTACTGTGAGAGGACTAAATTTTGTTTCATTGGCAAAGAGCATCGTGTATAGCTGCTCTACATTCGCTAGGTTGAAGATGTATCTAATAGAACTAACCTTATTTTTTCAAAAACATCGTAAGTCAAGCATTTGAGATACAGCGATCTTAAAGCGCACTACGCAACTTACTAAGGACTACCTCTCCATTAGACCTCCTCGAACTACCTTTGCATCACCACAGCTGAACCCTTAGCGATGCCGGAACCAGCAAATTAAAAAACAGCGCGAAATGAGTCCGTAGTGACGTTGTGATTGACCACCGCCTTTTCCGTGCATGATCAAAAAGTGCTTTCGTCGCAAGTAGCGGAAATATCAAAGCCGTGAATAGTACCGGGGACTGTATTGATATCTTTGAGGCTTTAGAATTTGTTCTCACGAACATTAACGGAACCAAGAAGCTCACGCAATCTAAACGTGTCTGGTTAACATAAATTTTCAGCAAACTCCCTTCTACTTTTCTACTAAATCGCGCGATGCTGCACCGAACTTACCAAAAGTAAGTACCCATCGGTCCCTTCCTACAGCTTGAACGTGGTATTCACTCCAGTACCGAGCGACGTGAGAGAGACCTCGAAGATAATGGTTAGATGGGACGTTACTGTGAAGCTTCCTCAATTAGCAATCGGCCATCGAAGATAGGCTACCAGGAGAAAATCTTCACAACAAATATCAACACCAAGTTCGCAAGTCAAACACTCATGCAAATGCCCTCGACGTCCGCTTAAAACGTCAGTCAGAAACTTAGACCCCGATATCACTTCCATCTCCTAGCAATTCTTCCCTGGCCAATAAAGTAAGTTGAAAGAGATGCCCCTTTCTAAGCACAAACAACAACTCGCTCCAAAATCTCCGCTCCATTTACGTTGACACAAAGTCTGCACTCAGAAAAGGCTAGGAGAAACGCGGAGGGAGAAGCCGAAGGTTTGGCAGTGACGTTGGAAATGCCAAGAAGACGGAAATCTGCTCCAACAGGAAACGGTGCAAAGGCTACACAGCGGCTGCCGCGCTGCCTCGAAAAGGAAGGCAAGATACGTACGCTGTGAGCCTCACAACTGAGATCGTACAGAACCCGTGTAAGGCAACCTGTGAAACTGTTTTATGTCGCAATCTAACCGTTATATACTCTCAAAAAGTAAGACGCTTTGTTTCGTTGTGATACCTGAGACTAAGAACACGTTTGTCCGAGGTCAGCTTGCGTCTTTTATTCTCAATGTAATTTGTCGGCCTCTGACCGTCTCGACGAATCTCACTATGATCGGGGAGTACGCCTGAGCTTACTGCGTTCCAGCGAGACTGGAAGGGGAGAGGTGGGGTGGAGGACCTCTCTATTAGCTGGTACTTATGCAGGGTCTCAGCGGGCTCTCAGCCTTTCACACACAATGCCTCAAGCCTTACTTTGAAGTGGTCCCGCAAAAGTCGTGGACACCCACTACCATCGTTGGCCCAGCTATCAAAGGTTGCCATAGATCACAATCTCTTCGAAGTATAATTGCGCCGCGGCGTTGATTTTATCAAAGGGTCTACAATACATCTCAGTATCTTCACGGTATGGCTGACCCGCTCTCCGCCAACGCTAGTGCTGCATCCATTGCTGGCCTTGCGGACGTCAGCTGTCGTCTCGCAGGCTCGGTCTATAAGTCTTCTCAAGCGTTCAAGGAGGCACCTCGGAACCTCAAGAGACCTTCGGAGGAACTCGAACAGCTTCACAGTCTACTCCAGGAAGTTCATAGCCTTGTGAAGCGTTGAACAATTCCCTACTCGTCGGCAAGAATGGACTGTCTATCGCAACAGTGCACTCGTAATTGCAGGACTGCAAAACAGAGCTCGATGAAGTCGAGAAAATCACTGCTCCGTTCCAGAAAGAATCGAGTACACTGAAAGATGCTGCAAAACGTATTAAGTGCGTTATGGAACTGCAAGAAATCGATACACCCGTCAGGCTGTCGATGAACTGGGGCAGCGCATTGTTGTCGCAATCTCAGTAGTCGGACGGTATGGACATCCATGAGGATGATACGGTCTATACTGACTCTTTACAGCCAACACGATGTAATAGCCAGGGAGGAACGGAGGGTCTTACAAACCCAAGTAACAGGCGCACGGGACGTTCTCCAAGCCTCCCCCCCGAGACCAGGGGCCTGGTCTCTACCGAACTGAGTATCGTTCGAAATGGCATCGAGCAATTTGCTTCCAAGTTGACTCTGGGCCAAGATGAGATACAAACGAGCTTGCGGATGGGTCATGACCATCTCCGTTGGGAAGTCTAACAGACTGAAAGCAGAAGCTCCGGCGGACTGAGAACAATACGAAACGAGGTCCAGGTCGTCAGTCTCCTCACACGCAGAGCTCAGCGGCAGAGCAGTCAGCACCAACGTAGATTTAGTCAGGGCATCAATCAGTTGGAATCGACGCTGTCACAACTTTCATCATTACGGCTGGAACCCCAAGTTAACCATTCGGAGTCCGCCTCGGCACAGTATCCCCGCCTTGACTCGCTAATGCTCTCGTTGGTGCTAATGAGATCAAGCCTTTGTTCTGCGGTTTCCCAGCTCCATTCAGCGGTTCCTGCGAAAGTTTCCGAAGAAGCAGTGAAGTTCTTGCTAGACGAGTTTGAACGATGGGTCGCTTTTAGCCATGACGCTTTGGCATTTAGCAATCGTCAAAGCCTCAAAAATTCCGACCGCGACAATGGACGACTACCAGGGTTGAAAACATGTACCTCGGCATTGCGCAATTACTCTCTCGACGATGACATCTTCTTGACCAAAAACGTGACTCCAAGGAAGCATTGGCGGACATAATCTCACTTCAATACCTCCTTGACTATATAAATCTAGATCACGACCAGGACTAACAAAACACAAGGCCAGATTGCTCAATAATCGATAGCGATGGTGAGTCTTGTTGCTCTGGCATCTTGGAAGAAGAGGAGACAGACGACGAAAAAGTGGTCATGATTGAAGACGGCGAGACGGTCTCCAAGGGAGAAAATCATTACATGAAGACTGCTCTCCAATCCAAGACCTCAGGGGCTACTGAGTCACAACCTATTCTCGAAACGGATGTCCCACCAGCAAGCCTTGGGCTTCACGATAACGGCGTCATTACCCTAGGTCAGCACCATATTTGGATGTGAGTTGAAGAGTGACAAGGTAACGATGGCTCACGATATGCCCGAGCAAAACAGGGTTTGGCAAGTTTTGGATGGAGCAGGACAGGTGGCAAAGCAAACATACGGGCCCATGCGATACTATCGTGTTTGTCGGCCATGATGTCTTTAGCAAGGGTATTCTCGGGATATAAATGATGGTCTAAGGCTGGCGGGAATTTGTACGAGTAGCGGGATCTGCCATGGTCAAATGGATTTTTTTTGGGTTGTAGAAGATCATAAAACTATCGACATGAATCATCAATGCTAGAGATGAGGGTATCAGCATACATTGCCGGCACTAAGTACAAACGTTTAAGTCCGCCTTACCTATAAGCACTGGCTTGGAAGGAGGTCCCTCTTTCCGGTCCCAGGCGTCCGCGTGGATTTCTAGATTAGCGACTGTCTTATGGATGTAGGTATCCCGTTTCGCGACTTTCAGCTGGCTTTATTTGTTCAACACCATTAAGAAATAGCAGGCCGCAGGTCCTGAACAGTGGTGCCAATGATTCGGCTCCGTGTGTTTGACATCTACCCAGAGCTTCCAACAACGTCTGCGCCCCCTTTCGCCGGACACATCGATATCAGGCTCTTCTGATATTCCTACCTTGTTGAATCTACACCTTACGCCTCCGCCTCATGTCAAGCCATCCTTATACCGAAATTTTCCTCGTACCAGAGAAGCACTCAGGCCAGTCGGGCCCGTTCTCCGAGCGAGCAAGACCGCAGCTGCTTTTTCCTTAACGGCTGCGTCCGGAAGCACTACGCGTGCGGCCGAGAAGTCTATCTTCTTGGCAAGTCCGGCGCGAGGAGCCTATGTCCTGGCAGGTAGTAGGATCCAAGGGGGCTGCCGACCGAATATATGAAACCCATTGCTTTCAACATGGACGAGTCGACAATGACGCAACCTATATATAGTAAATAGATTTCTTAATGTTAGGATTACTTTTTCTTAGACAGGTAGGTCTGTGGATTCGTAGTAAAAATTGGTTGTAAACCTGGTCAGCCAAAATTGATTGCGTCGCGTCAAAAAACAAGAGTCAATATTCTGAATCCCTGGGCGCTGACAAATGCTTACGAGAATTCCAAGAATCTCCCTGCACCGTAGACAGTTTTGGAATATGTCGCAAGATAGTAAATTCTCGATTGAATTCCGACTCCCGTGGCGCAGTGGTAGCGCGTCGTTCTTATATGTGGTCGTTGCACCAATATGGCATCATTTGCAATGCGAATGTCGTGGGTTCGACCCCCACCGGGAGTATGTGTTTCTTTTTGGGTTTTGCTAACAACTACCTACCTACCTGATGTTTTTGTTTGTTTGGTTTTTGGGGGGTTGGAAAAAAAAATTGGTTTGGGTTTGGGGTGTGGAACCATGAAAAGGTATCGATTGGTCGGTACTTCCGTGCCAAGAAGACAAATTTTCGGCTGCACAAGTAGGTATCATGAGTCTCAATGATAGGTAGTCAATCAATACAGCATCTTCGCGCACGTCCTTTCAAATTCGTTGGCGCAGCCCAATGCCGAAAGAGACTGCATACAGCAACAAGCTGGTCTAATCCTCTATGCAGGGACAGAACCGGCTCATCAACGCATGCATCATTGCATGCATGAGCATCTGCAACACCAGCGCACCCTGAAGGTCTACCGATCCTGATTCTCCCAGTCGCTTAAGGGTTCTAGCCGGGCCCGATTATTTATCACCAATGGTTGAAATTGAGCTCCGCGCAATCTCTTCAGGTGCGTTACTGGCTCAGAGGTCAGCAGTCAGAGCTGCCCTATCACAGCACCCCGCAGCCATCTGTTTCGTCGGCCGAGCAAATACAGTGATACATCCGGGTTAATTGTCATATAAGATACTACCATATAGCCGAAGCGTCCATCTGATCATCGTTTGGAACCGTATTTTATATGTAAAGGGGCCTTATAACACTGTGGTATCGTATGGCCTGAGGCGCTAGTCTACGGTCTTACTAAGGGCCAGTTCGGTAACCACATATTTTGAAAATAACCCCTACTTATTTTCAACTTAGCGTATCGTTCGGTTACCATATTTTCAGAATATATTTTCAAAATACCTGAAAACAAGCCTCGAGCCTTGTTTTTTGGCAAAATAAGGCTAAGCACGCTAAAATAATGGACATCCATGATCAATATATATATGTTAGGGTTACCCTAACCCTAACTCCGCCAGCAGGGACACCAGTAGGGACACCAGCAGGGACATCAATGGCAATAACGGGGGCAATAGAAGGATTAATGATAGTCAAAGCCTATGCAGCAGTAGCAGCAGGTGTCTCCGCCATAATAACGTGGAATGGTAGAAATTCAATGATCACTGATGGAGAAGATGATTTTCTCAATTTTTTGCGACGATTCTGACTCAGCCTCAGAAACAGGGTTACCGAACGGAACCGTATATATATTTTACATATTTTGAATATAAATTAGTGTCATATTTTCATTTGCCAAGAGGTGGCGTTATTTAGTGAAAATAAGTAGGGGTTATTTTCAAAATATGTGGTTACCGAACTGGCCCTAAGCTCGAAGAGGCGTACGGGAGAATACCTCTGAAAGGGAGATGATACCTGATTTGGGGGCGTAGAATACCGCAAATGGCCTGTACCTACTCCGACTACTCATTATTTTACTTGCCTCGCTATTGAGGTTTTACTTAATTGATTATCGATAGATTTAAATGCTGCGGAGAGGGCTACGGAGAGGGTACTTATGATTTTATTTTAGGGGCCTAGTACAATTAAGTATCATTACTCAGCAGGCTACTGGGATCCCTATCTTACAGTCTAATTATGGCCTACGTCTGAAAACCGTTATTTTGAACGGTATCTTATATGCAAAGGGGCCTTATAACGATGTGGTCTTTTATATGCTAATTAATTCGGTATTCTTTAGCAAGACTGGCTTTGGAAACAATAAACCCACCAATGAATATCCCTCAGCATGATCTGGACGAACCCTGAACCCGTTGCAGACGTCTCCCTGGACTTACATATCCAGGTCCCGCAGAAGTTCGCTGCGCGTTTCGAAACCCAGTACGTACTGCTTCGCGATCTCATATTTGAGAGGACGAGTGCGGTGAAAGACGATGTACTAATTCATGTCCGAACCAAAGCGATGGAGGGAGTGAAACTCCTTGACTTGACCTGAACTCTTCTTTCAGAGACTGGTGGCCATGAAGCCATAGCATACAGCATAAAATCTATCTCCATGACATCCTCTGCGCCGTCAGGGAATTCCTGAGTATTCGCAAATGGTTGGGTCTTGCAGGTGCTAGTGCTGGATTTTGGGGAATTTAAGTTGCATTCACATTCGTCTCGAATAGCATGTTTTGTTTAAGCTGGAGGATTGTGGAACACGGTTGCTGTTTTGGTTTCCATATATATGCCGCTCTTCGCTTCTAAAGCTTTTCCGCACTCCAACGAGCCGGGAAAGTAAACCCCTCTCATTTCCGATATGCATGTCTTCTTGGTGGTTGTCTTAGCCGCCATTACACTTGTCGCAGGCGAAGTCCCAGGCTACTCAATCGGTGTTGCGAATCGTAATGCAACCTTTGACTACATTGTAATCGGTGGTGGCACAGCAGGCCCACGGTTGCTGCGCGTCTCGCTGAGGGCACATCGGATAAGTTTGCGATCATTGAAGCAGGCGGCTTCTACGAGGTCGATGGTGGTGAAGCAAGTGTGATTCCAGACGAGGCCTTTGTAGGAATTAACACAGACCCCAACGACATTCCATCTAAGATTGATTGGGGTTTTGTGACAACCCCTCAGCCGGCCTTAGGCGGTCGAAAGCTAGATTACACACGTGGCAAAACTTTGGGAGGCAGCTCTGCAAGAAAATACCTTGGTTATTAAAGGGATGCTATATCTCATCAATACCTATCTTTACGCAGCCGACCAGAATAGATGCAGGGGTACCAAAGAATCATTTCAGAAGTGGGCTGATATTGCTGGGGATGATACCTACGCGTCCGATAATGTTTTGCCATACTATAAGAAAAGTGCGACATTCACACCTTCAAACTACTCAAAGCGATACACCAACACCACCCTCAATTAGAACCCCTAATCTTTTGATGATGCTTCGCAAGGGCCGCTCCAGTTCTCGTATTTTAATTGGGCTTCTCCATTTGCCTCTTGGTGTCACAAAGGCCTGTTAGCCATCGGGCGTCATGCTCAATGACGGTTCCATTGATGGTAGTCTTTTCGGATTCATGTGGTACAAAGCAACTATCAATCTGCCAGGCGAAATTTGTTCGTCATCACAAGCTGCCTTTTTAAGCCAGGAGATACAGGGTCCCTCATTACAGGTATATACATGAACGTTGGCGAAAAGGATTTTGTTCAACAGAAACGAAATAACAACTGGTGTCGTAGTTACAAGCAACAGCTTTGAGTATACACTCAGTGCGCGGAAAGAGGTTATCCTATCTGCAGGCGGCTTCCAGTCTCCCCAGCTACTGATGGTGTCTGGCATCGGGCCCTCGGATACTTTGAAGCAATACAACATCTCTCTCATCGCAAACCTATCAGGCTTCGGCCAAAATATGTGGGATAGTCTCATCCTTGGGCCATCATACCGAGTCAATGTAGTCACAGACTTACTGATTTCACAAAATTCCGAGTATGCCGCTCCGATAGCAGCCCAGTATATCAACAACCAAAGCGGACCGCTCACCTATGCAGCCGGCTATGCAGCGTGTGAAAAGCTGCCCTATCGATCCACCTTCCGAGCCTCAACCAACGCTTCCCTTGCCTTTTTTCCCTCGGACTGGCCCGAATTAGGCTACCTCCCGGTAGACACCTACACAGGCTACCCCTCCCAGCCATCGACCTCCATGCTCAACGACAGCTTCAACTGCGAAACCATATTCACCGCCCACGTCGCTCCTTTATCGCGCGGCAACGTCACCATCAAATCCACCGACACATCCGACCTGCCCATCATCAATTCCAACTGGCTCTCACGCCCTGCAGACGCAGAATTCGCAGTCGCGGGCTTCAAGCGCGCTCGTTGAATTTTTCAAAATATGAGCGACATCACCATCGACCCCGAGAAGCTCCCTGGGCCCGCCGTGCAGACGGACGAGGATATTCTCGCTTTCATCCGGCAGAGCGGCTCCCAGCTGTATCATGCGTCAGCGACCTGTGCCGTGGGCAAGGCGGGGGATGCGAACGCGGTGGTGGATTCGCGGGCTAGGTTTTCGGCGTCCGCGGATTGAGAGTCGTGGATGTGAGTGCTTTTCCCTGTTTGCCCCCGGTCCTGCCGCAAAGTACGGTTTATATCTGTTGGAAAAGATCGCGGACGATATTAAACGTCGGCGATGATAGGATTCTGATTGCAGAGGGAGACAGACAGATACTTCGCTATCGTAAAAGCAGATGCAGCCTTTGGAATTAGTCTGTACTATATATAATCTGCAATGCTGCAAAATCTATTTGAAATGTCCCATCCCCAAACCCTCTTCTCGATTTTTCTGCAGGCTATGTATGACACCGGCACCTATCATCCTCTCATCCTTTGCCCAATAGCAGGACGAGAACGAGAACGAGGACGAGAACGAGGTAATCGATCTCTCTCATGGTGCTCCGATCGGCGGTAGTATGCAAGTTCACTCTAATAAGCCTAATCCTCCTTTACTAACCACATAATTGCTTCCGCGATAGCAAGCCGATTCCATAGTAGCATCCGTCCAACCGATCCCTAATGAACTATCTTTCCCCTTCCCCAGCTACACCCAGGCCCAAGTCCGGCTGCCCAGGATTCAAAAACCATGCAGCTTCTTGCACCCAGACCGACGAAACTTTGACGGCCTGTCGATCATCAAACAAAGAATTCCAAACGCTCATTCATGCGCCCGAGCGCCGAAGTCCATGTCTCTGCTGTCGCGAAGATAGACGAACGATCGCTCCTCAAAAGTCACATATATCCAGAGGCGGAAAGACACGAAGCCAATGAAAGAAAGAAAGAAAGAAAGAAAGAGAAAGGGCAAGGTTCACGGCAGATCTACTATAACAAAGCTCTCGGAGAAGGCTTGTACGAAATGTACAGAGAGGGTATCAAGCTCATTTCCATGTCTATCGGAAGATTCGCCCGAGCGAGCATCGACAGATATCTTAGAGAGTATGCGCAAGCAATCACATCAACATAGCCAACACTCATTTAACTTTGACCGGCTCCAACGGTCGACCGAAAGGGTGCGTATACCGGAAAGCACAGACAGCCGCAACAGCGTCATCTCAACCTTTTCAGCTGGAGTACCTCGCTCCTTGGATATACACTCATGCCGCGTCAAAGACCTGCTTGCCTTTTTGATCTTATCTCACAACCAGGCCTTCTTCAAGCCAAAATGATCCCTCGTCCACCGTGGACGTTTCTTGATCCGGCTCTGACGACGTCCTAATGGAATTCGAAAAACTCGGTTCCATCGTAAGATACGTATAGGGCACATCCGTCTTCCTGGTTGCTAACAAGGCTGTCGACGGTTTGAGCAGTTCCGGCAAAGCAACAGCTGCGCAGAAGTGTTCACCGGATCGACGGTGATTCAATGCTTCCTCGACTGATGGCAGCCCGTGAAGGTAAAGGGAAATCCTTCCATGATGACAAGATCCAGAGGAGGGACGTCTTCTGCAAAGCGTTAGGGCTCGATCGCGTTATAGACGTCCTCATTTCTTCTCTTTCTTACCCTTAATCGAAGTTTGGTTTGAAAAAGGTGATTAAACGATTGAACATCTTTGTTTTCGAATTTACATCTACTGTCTAACTCCCACCTGAAGGAAAAACCACCAGAGATATTTATCCGCAGCATTACCCATAAGGCTTGTCAATCTCCGACGCCCGATACCCAGCCGTAGGTGTTTTGTCACCGAAGAGAATCTTAACGTCCTCCTGGCTCGCAGTAGCACCCGATGTAGGTAGAGACATCACACGCACCTGCGTGCTCATGGTCCGGTATCGCTCGATGCCCGCGGATGCATTCTTGAACACATCGACGGCCCCGGAAGCCCCCGGCATACCCGACCTGGCGGTCAGGACTATAAGGTCAACAAACGAGTCCCATGCGTCGCAGCAGACGCGGGTTCAAAGCACGTATGCCACGTGGCCAAGTGCGAGCGCTGCGTGCACGAACAGCACCGTCAGCGCAAGGTAGTATGCGAGGCTGTCAGCGCGGTAGGCGTAGCCGCTGACAACGACGGACCAATGCAGCGGGGTAGCTGTGCCTACGGAAGGTGGGAACGCGTACGTGCCCGCCAGAAGGCTCTGCTGGCTCTATACCGAATTATCCCACGGCAGCAGGTTCGACGCGTCGGAGATGTGCGTCGAGGAGCCCCCGTTGGCGGCGTACCCCTGACGCGACATGCCGTCTGCGACGAGGGTTGCAATGATGGTTTCTAGCACTGGAGGCACGTCATCCCAGTTGATGATGATGCCCGTACTGTTGTCCATGCCCATGTCTGTAAGAAGGGCGGCGAGGCTGGTCCAGCCGGACGTGCTGCGCCCGGGGGGAAGGAGTCAGGGTGTTGAGCCAGTCTACGTCTATCTGGACTCGTCGCCAGGAGCCGTCATCGACAGGGAGGAAGTTGTATTGGTAGCCTGGGAGATCAGGGTCAAAGGGTCTCGTGTTCTGGATTGTAGCTGTTTGGACGTAGTCTGCGTCCAGATCTCCCACGGGCCCGCCAGAGTAGGTCCCCATGGCCCATCTGGCGTCGACGGAGCAGGTAAAAGTTGTTCCCGTGTTGTTGGATTCGCTATAAGGTATCTGCACAATCAGAACGCGCTGGGCACATCGGCCGTGTATGAGTTGTCGCTCAATTGAGCGGTCTCCGGGACTGCTATCCATTGTGCACTCATGTTAGACGAAATGGAGAAACTGGTTTCAATCCAGTAATTGAGATCGAGGCGAACACCGTATTCTGGGAGATCAGGGTACTTGATTGAAATCAGCGCCATTGTCTTAGGATAAATAGTGGGCCAAGGTAAGAAGAACATACCCCCAACTCTAAGCCCGAAATATTATAGAAGAGCGACTTGGTTATACCACAATCTGCTCGTACTGCTGGAACCCAGCTCTGAACGGAACCTAGGGTCGCGTTGTGGGTTCGATACCGAAGCGTATGGTGCCAGCTTGACGTAGAGATTTCTGTTAGAGCCTGGTACCAAGCTCCAGCGAGATTTCTGGAAAGAACTCCAACGGCCATATGAATTGCAAGGACCCAAGTCTCTGCCACTTCGCCTCTTGGTCGTATAACAAAATCACGTTTGAGTACGCCGTCATCAAGGACTAGGTCAATCCCATTACTAAAGTGCCTTTGTTTGAAAGCTTCGGCAAGCGAGGAATAGCCAGCCCAGATACACCCTGAGGAGTTCAAGGTCTCAGTGCTCAGTTCTTGCATAGTAAGGGATTCGCAATCGAATTCTCCTATAGACGAGGCTGTCACCTTAGAGGGCCAGAGAATCTCGTCACCACCTGCAAGCCAAAAAGAAGCACCTCCTGCTGGCCAGTTTGACCGCTGAGTCGGAATCAATAACAAGGCGGCAGAAGGGCCAGCAAAGAGTGAAATAAGGCTCGATGCGAGAATGAGTAGGCCGGACAGCAATCGCTTACGGCGGTGGGCGAAGCCTGCAAGACCAAATCGAAACTCGGGAGATATGAGATACTCCATCTCGGTGAATTGTTGTTTGGAGGCCAAGATCCCCAAAGGTAGGCCTTCGCGTGAGAATAACAGTTGGTGGCGCATAGCGTCCATGAGAATCGTTCCCAGAGAGGCGACGATAAGCAGTTCCTTTCACAAACAAATTCGTGAGCTAGCAGGAAATCAAAAAGGAGGATACAATTACCAGGAGCTTTGCTGTCACCTGCAGGCATAGTGTATCAAGAGCCTGGTATACTCCACCTGTCAAGCCTTGCAACTCTGACCCAATAAAATAACCGGCGAGGTTGAAATATGCTACAGTCGTGGTCGCAGACACTGCCAAGAGATGAACCGAGCATCGGAACAGAGCACGCTTGAGGCCTCTTTCAAGAACAATCTTCTTCTTTTCGTCCACATCTCCACGCCACAAGCGCTTAAAGAATTTCCCTGTGGCATCACGTAGCCTTCGCGGACATTCCCAATGCCTTTGCCGCAAGATTCGAACTTGGTGCGGATCCGTTTGCTCAGCGCAGACCGCGAAGCATTTCTGCGGGTTGCTCCTGCTTTAGCGGCAGGAGAGGGTACCTGAGACATTCTGTAGTGATTATAGAGGGCTCACTTCTAAAGAAGCAACACTCTCTGCTTTTATGGTTGCGTGGGGGCCGAGGCCGAGACCTCCACCACCTCGTGCTTCTAGCTTGCCCCTCGAGCCTCATTCTTACATGCATTATGCACCTTATCGCAACTGGACCCAAGTGCCGATTAGGCCCGCTGAAGAAGTAACCCAGGTAATATACTCGTTTATAGGGTAGGTAAATGGAAGGAAGAAAGTTACTGTCCTCACACGGACGGACTGCTGATTACCTGTCGGGAGTGCTAATTTTCTACCTTGATTACGCGCTAAAGCTTAGCGGGGATGCAATGAAGCCGAGAAATGTTGGACGGCTATATGGTCCGCGTCTAGGACCCCGGACAATGTCCCAGACACTTGTACGCCTTCCCCAACAGCGTTCTCTTCCCCTTGTCGATCTACTTCCCCTGGACCCCATTACTCTCAATTCTCCTTCAACATTCAACCTCCTCATGAGTCTCCTTTTGCTTCCACTTTTTCTACCGTTGAGGATTTGCGGAATACATGTCATCACGATCATGAAGTCCTCAAGCAAAATTTAGTAAGCATCTAAACAAAATAACCATGAGCAATATGTTCTGTTTATTGCTGTTGTTCCTGTTCTGAGGTGACATCTGATCATATCAACATCGTTACTGCGAACTAGGTATTCATCCCATAACAGCGTGGAGAAGGGAGACCAAGTACGTGCCAAGGAAGCACGGCTAGGCGGCTGAGAGCAGCCAGCTACTGTTAAAAGGAGAACAAGTGAGAACCGAACCCCGATCCCGATGGTAGAGTACAACGGTAAAGTAGCTCAAGCGTTCCCTGGCACAGTACTCAGCTCCCTGCTCTTCTTCATAGCCTGCTCTAATTTCGATGGTGAAGTGAGTCCATGTCTTCTCTTAAGATGGCCCCCCAGGTTATCCGATCTCTTGGGCCTCGCGTGGCAATCCAGTTCGGGACACTTGAGACCTGCATCTTTGTTGTGTTTTGGCGATGTCCGCAAGTGACGAGCCAAGTTCGATCTTGCGTTTGCTGGTGTACCTGTGAACCTTTCTCCGCAGAGATGACATATTTCCACATTTGATGTCGAGATATTGCAACCTGACGACGTAGGTGGAGTGGAAGCCTGAGACGCCGCGCTTGGGGAGGTCGTCTGAGTGCTGACATCGTCCATTTTGGATAAATTCATAGATGTCCCAGTTGTAAGACTGGTCGGTGAGGAGCCGACAGTAAGACCTCCAGTACTCCTCGAAGACAGCGAGGTAGGGGACCCGACGGATATCCCATGAGTGCAGTTGACTGCAAGGACACTAGTATTCAGCGGATATCTTGAAGCAAAACCGAAGCCCTGGTGCCTCTCCGGTTCTCCCAATATATCCATGATGTCCTTCAGATCCGCGATATAGTACTGATTACGCCACATTCGATTTGATGAGCCCATAGCTGTGTCGCACTGAGTCATCACGTCATTTTGAAATCTTTCAAAGACTTCGAGAGCTTGGGAGCTCCACTAAAACCGGTAAGTACAGGATTTGAGAGTACAGACGGTGGTTTGTAACCCACTCGGGCACTGGAGACCAACACGACCTCTACTTCACGGATCTCACGTAGAGTTCCGCCACATATACCGAAGCTAGCACTCGCTAGATTGGCTTGAAAAGCCTCAATACCTTTTCTCTGTTCAAGAGGTCTGATGATCTTCTTAACCAGTTCGCCAATCCTAGGAAGGTCGGTTCTTGCAGCCACTGCAGCGCCAGGGAATGAAATGTTTTTCTCCATGATAGTGGCCTCCTCAAAACCTAAGATTACAGTTAGAGAGGCCTTGTGACTGCTTCAGCGACAGACTTGCCATCGAGAAAGCCGGTGCAGACCCTGAAAACTTTGCTATTCCTCAGTTCCTGAAGCAATGCTGCCTGATCGCCTCCAATCGAGAGTTCCTGAGACGGATTCCAGATAACTGGCGAATGAGGATTGGCGTTGGAAGTCGGTACTATGGAGGATTTGGAGTCAGTTTTGCAAAGCAAGAACCCGAGTAACATGATAAATCTGGAAAGCAGGTACAGTCTTCTGTTGCCCAACCATGACCAGTGGAACGATCTCTTTGCTGCCAGAATATGGCTCGAAATTCAGGTCTGTTAGCAGTCAAGAGAAAGTAAGATTGAAATGCTCGTACTATGTTGACCAGGTAGCCACCACCAACGATCGATAGCCGTCACGAACATGAGTTTACCATCTCTGTCGACCATTGCGTGCTGCAGCTGAAGTGCATCTTGGATGAAAGCATCCCAACAGTGCGACTCATCCTTATGGTGCAAGATAAAGGCAGCGGCAAAGGCTATGTGCATGAACGAAAATACTTCCTCGAAATTACTTTCAAGTTTTCCACAAAGCCAATTCTTCAAAGTGTAAATGCCCTTTGCGAGCAATGTACGAGCGGACAGTGATGAGCATCGTATGTGTAGCTCAGGGCTTGGGAGCAACCTCTGCATCCACTCATTGTTGACAATACTTACCAGTCCTAGAAGCTCTTCGACTTGGGTTCGAATTTGTGCTCGGTTGGCCCCTAGATGGGGTCCATGGTCGTAGTCGACCTCTGTGCCAAGATTTTGGGTCTGAATGGGGATTGGCTGGCGCTCACTGCTTGAGTACCGATGGTACCCAGTCGAATCGCTGGCTGGTATGGTGTTGGCTCTTAGCTTAGCAAGACGGGCCTGTGACTGCGTTTCCTCAAAATTTGGCGGTGGAAGCGTTGAGCTTTGTGACCTCCAAGCATTGATGCCATCTTCCAAAATTGCTACCGCATTGACGGCTGGGACTTGTCGGGTCCGTGAATCTTGAGAGTCAAGGTTTGACGTGGGAGATATGAGTGTCGAGGTTCGACTACTTAGTGACACTGCGCTGGACAGCTGGGAGATCAGACTTGGACTCGGGGTGCTTGGAGAGGCAGTTTGTGGCACTGGAAAATCAAGTCCTAGAGAGGGCATACTTGGATAAATGTTTGCAATTCCTTCATGAAGATTGTGGAATGGACTACTGGCACAATCCGCGTCCGCGTCCGCGTCCAAGAAATGAGAAAATTTGGTAAAGCTTTCTCCAAGAGTGTCAGCACTTGGGTGGTTTTGGCCGTAAACGTTGTCAGCTTGCAGATCCTGCGAAGTCGTAAATGAGGTCACGGTGTGAGCATCAGCGATGTTGAAGCTAGCGCGATCTCGTAATTCTGCCGTCCAATAGACTGGATCGAGGGTTGGCAATTCTAGGTCAATTGGAACAGAAGCATCAAACATATCAATCAACGGCGGTGTCACCAACGCTTGCAGACCAAGCTCTCTATCGTCGATGCTGTCACTGCCTGCTTCAGACGTATCAAACGGAGTTGAGCCGAGCATCTCGTGCAGCGACCGCACATTGACTCGTTGTGGTGATGGGAGCTCTGATCTAGACACATCGCCACCAGTGATCTCAGCCGCGCTTGACCGATCCCCAGGGTATTTCGCTTTCTCATTCACCCATCCAGCATAGACAGCGTCAGCTCTGGTGTTCAACTCGTGCGCTAATGAGGAATTCGACATTAGCACTCCATTCTCAAGAGACAAAACTAATTCATAAATCAGCCATAGAGAGCACAAAAGGGGCAAGAAATGCTTTCGAAGACTCGAAGCCACAATGTGAGACGAGTGCTGGTAGAACAAAATAGGGAAATGACCTTCTGTCGCTCACAAACCACACACCAAGACTCAGATCAAGGTCTTATGGCGCTGAAAGGTACATACCATGCGAGGAACCTTGGCTGAGATTTGATGGACAGAGGCCATGCTTCTCTGTGTCAAGTGCTATGGTCTGACGGCCTTTGCCAAGCTCTGCCTTGTAGCTGCCCCGTCGAATGCGTTCATCTCGAGCAGTATCCTCTAACTCGACTTTTCTAGGAGTATCTACTGAGAACAATGCGTGAGTCTGTGGAGATTCGGCATCAGTAGGATATAGACCACGCACCTGTCCTTTTCAGAGAGCGTCTGCGACCCAGCCACCTGAAGAATGTAACGGCCAGCTTTGTTCCCCTCTTTTGCAGCCTGGGTCTAAGTATGATATCGCATCCCTTGTCGCACTCCAAAAATCGTTCGGGACGCTTGCAGTACGGGCACCAGTACCATCCATTGGAAAGGCGAGGGCACGTAAAAACGTGACATACAGTCGCATCAACATCTTTGAAAGTGTTGCGACACCACAGCATTGGACACATCAAAAGCTCTTCTTTCTCTATGACTGGATCGTCACCTCGGAAATTTTTGACCCAGTCAAGAAAGCTCCGCTGGCATCCATGTTGAGAGAGGAAACCAAGGACCTTCCTGCCGACACCTTCGTTGAGATGAGGTTTCAGTCTGACGGGTAAGCGTCAGCATGGGCATGTCAGGGAAAGTGGTCGCTGGAAACTCACGCGCAAGGCACTCCACGAACATCGATTGGATTCGTTGTCCCACACATCCTGATTAGCGAATCCAATGCCGTCTGGTACTTTTCGCAGTAAGCGGCGGATGGGCATAGATCGAGAGTTCGTTGGGGAAAGTGGGAGTTTTTAGGCCCAAGCCCACCAGGGAAGATTGAGGATGAGGTGACATGGTTTAGAACTTGGAGCACTGGATGTTGCGATTACACTAAAGACTGCGTGCCATCATCTGGGACGCCCATTCATTGGCGCAGAGGAAAGGGAACCAAATTTGTTGCGAGGACTTGCGCGCATAGAACGCCTGCCGTGTTGCATTTGCTGAATATATTAGCTGAAAATTTTGGAGGGGTAGAAAGTAGATTGAGGACTGGAGGAAGTAGGTAACAAATGACCGATCTCGTGATGCAATAGCTCGCGATGAAGCAAAGACTCACGTACCGAGCCACTGAAGAGCGTATATTGAATCGACGTTTCCGGAAAGAGTGTCCCACGAGGAAATTGTTCCATGATCATGCAAGCCTCCGACCGGGTGGCCGAACAAGGGCCTGCGAGGCCGCATTGCATGACCCCGTGTACGGCTCAAAGCGACCTTCGAGTGTGTCATTGTTGTTAGGTGCAGTCGGCCTCTCCAGACCAACCTATGGCACCAGTACCAGTCCTCAATTCTCGGTCTCTCCTGTATCTCACAGGACCGGCGGCCCAGCTTGGCCAGGCACAAGCAACCTAATGCAGCCCATGGTCATCTCCTGATCCAATTGTCGCCTTATCTTTTTCAAACAGATCTGAAGCGCTCCATAGGAGACCAACAAGGACTGGAAAGAAGGCAACCGGCTAGCGGAGTAGCCGAGCAATGTGTTGTCCATCGCTGGTATCTGTGCGGATCGTGCAGGGTCGTCACGCAAGCCCTTGGCCTTTAACGCCCTATTTTGTAGAGAGCTATAGGCAAAGGAAATCGGAATGGAACCGAAAGAAGTTTGATCGAAGGATTGCGGTAAGGACGAAAACAGGTGATCCGTGAGATCCCCACAATTGCTAGAGAGTCCGGGGAGGCCCGGCCAGTCCTGAAAATGTTAGTGGGAATTGTTGCCTTAACAATTCGTATGCACTCACCAACATAGGTCTGCTTTCGCTTGGCGGGACTTTGGGAGCTAAAACAGACCGCAAGTAAGGACTTAGGAAGCGATGCCAGGCAATGGTCCAGAGCTTTGAAGGGCGACAATTGTCGTTGTGAGACGTTGGGCAATCGATTGATTAGTATGCGGGGTTGGCATTAACAGATAGGATCTCCTAGCCATCCTGGCGGCCTCGCGATTCTCCGTTCCAGCCAAAGCAGCCTAAGAGATGATACACTCCGTGAGAAACGAAAGCAGCAGAAGGGGCACGTTATAGAGATTTGAAAACCCGATCCTCTTTTCTTCTGCGCCGCAACTTCCGAATGTAACATTGTTAGGGCTGCGATGGTAGACGGGCTTTTGAGTGGTAGCAATGCTTGTCTTGGTTTTCTCCATATCTTGTACATGGCCAGTAAGAATAGACCCGACCCCTACTTGACAACGAGCATGCAGCCACGGCCTCGGTTTATGAGCAATTTACAGGTGTGTCACGCTCTCATAGCTAAATCCGCGTTGACTCCCAAACTGCTTCGCGATAGCAGCCTTATCAAACGTCTCGCCAATACCTGGGATCAGACGGGGTCGCATGCGACTAGCAGTCTAATGAGTTCCCGAACATCTCCAATCACTCATTATTCATCTGGATACATGTTGATTGTATTAGGCTGGCCAAGGAATGCCTTATCGGACGTCATGTAGCTCTGTTAGCAAGGTCGGTTCAATGTGTGTATGTGTAGTTTTCTTATGTGGGGGGTGCGATCCTCTAGAGTACATAAGTAGTCTAAGTAAATAATATAAGATTTCACGGTCCCTAAAAGCGGCAGCCTCGGGAGAGCGCCAACTTTAGTGCCAAGACTTGAAACGCGCTGGACTTGAGCTCGTACTAAACAGCTTCCGATCCTCAACGACTGGGACTTCTAATGTGCAAACATTGGCGGGTTTGAAGGGCCCGAGGAGCTGTGTCTCAGCAATCGAAAGGACGGTGTACACGCTGGTCGCAGGCTTGTCAGTGAAGCAGGAAAACACTCTTCCGCCTACATGATCTAAAGAGAGAGTCAGCCCAACACGCTCAACAATTACCCGCCTTCCAACCTTCGAGAACCTTCGACCAGAAGCTGCTCGCAACTCACTATCCACCAGGTAAGGCGCCCGTTTAGTCAGCTCCACTCCAGACACTGACTGCTTTGGGCTCCACAGCATCTAACCACCATGGCCGGACGGTACATTCCCCCTCACATGCGTGGGTCAACCGGCTCTTCCTCAGCCGAAAAGCCCATGGTGAAGGCCGAGCGTAAGCCTGAAGATGGCTATACCCTCGAGGAAATAGCCAACCAATTCTCCTTCGATCACAAAAAGAAGCTGGGGACTCTGAACCGCGCTTCGATATCTGTCGAAGAAGAGGAGACACCTAATCTTGGCTTCGTCATTGTGTTCAAGGACCAGCACCCAAAATGGCCGCCTAAGATCTTCTGCAAGACGTATCTGTTCTTGTTGCCGAAGACGGAGACCCTTCCAAGTACGTACATTTCAAGAATGATCAAGATCGTGTTTCAGGAGCCAACGGTTTCTTGGAACCCCAATATCCGGCTCAGTACTCGAGTCTGTTCGCCGGAAAAGAGATGCTGACTTCGTGGTAGGTACTCCAATCACGGTCTTCACGGAAATCTCCAACCTCCGCACCTCGGAGAACCATAATCATCATGAGCAGAGATTCCTCTACGCAGGCGCGCATACCATTACAAGGATCCAATACCTCATGCCTCGCAGTCCTCTACTGGTCAAGATGCTGGAGAGCAAGTTTACGGGGCCCAAGAACGAGAGGTCCGAGGAAGCGTGGAACAAGAGCTTGAACATGAAGTGGGCGGTTGTGGATCTGAACAAAGTGGAGGAAGAAGAGCAGGGGAGCAGTCCTATGGAGCCGTTGAAAGAGATCAAGAAGAAGAGTGTTAGTGAGATGTTGGAAGAGATGCGATTAAGGGAGAGTAGTGGGGAAAAGGAGAATGGAAAACCAGGAGGTGGAGATGATAGGGAGGAGGCCCTGCACGGGGATGAGGATCGATGAGTCCGGCTTCAACCGGGGATCCTACGATTGCACATGGCTTGACATGAGCTGAAAAGCTGGAGTTTCCGAGCTTGATGTAAGCAGCCTCTCTTCGGCTAAGAACCGTATCACCTAGCTCTGCTAACGGGCGAAGCACAACCTTGCAGTCACAGCTGCTTAAATGGATCTGCTCATTGCAAAGTTCTTGCACTCACTGCTCCCTAAGACCTATGGCCATGCTTACCAGCCTTTTCCGAAGCACCAGCGAGGACAGAACTCCTTTGGCGAGACTGATCAGCGAAGTACCATAGCTCTCTAGCGTGCGAGTGTGTTCTAGAAGATATACACATTACAAACAAAAACATCACACTCAAACCTTTTCAAGCATTTGGGCTCCCATTGACAGCATCGATGATTTCCCCGCGGAGATCTTCGGCCACTGACGTAACTGACATGTCAATCCTGGGTATACAAACACCATCAGCCATCACCTCCACTCCAACCCCTGACCGCCGCTGCCACTGCTCAACATCTTCCTTCCACAATGCCCCTCTACGAAATCGAGCACATAACCCCGCTCTCCTCCTCCCAAAAAGATGCCCTGGCCCGCTCCATCACCCAAATCCACTCCCACCTCTTCACCACCCCCTCTCTGTTCGTCAACGTCCGCTTCACAGACACGGCAAGCCATGATGTGTACGTTGGCGGTAAGAAGGTAAGCTACAATGACGGCCTCACAGAACGGAACGATTTCTTTACCCGCGGAAAAAGCCCACTCCGTCTCCCATCGGCATGGAATGAAATGACATGATATAAACGGGAAGATAAATCCTCTACCCAGCAACTCACTCGACCAACCACGCGTTGAAAAGCCCCCACCCTGATCCCAGAGCCACTTACACACCTCAACAGAAATCCGCCAACCGCATCCTCGCGCACGTCCGCCCGGGCGGCGGCCGCTCCGTCGACGACTTCAACACCCTCTGCGCTCGGATCACGGACTCGTGGGGCCTTATCGTCGTCGGCGATGACGCCAGAGGCGACCGAGGTCGAGAGCGAGAGCTCCGCGCCGTTTTCATCCTCGGGACCATCGTTGCGGGAAGCGAGGCCGGGTTCACGCTGCCGGCTGTAAGTCCGCCCGCTCGTACTGATCTTCTTGTTGTTGTTGTTGTGGTGGTAGATAGAGAGGAAGATGATTTTTCCATCGTATCATGTCAAGTAGGTTTGTTGGCGGAGAAGGCTTGCTGATTGGGATATGTGTGTTTGGTGTAGGCGGGCGAGGATAGGAAGTGGTTGAGGGAGAATGTGGGGGAGTTTGAGAAGAGGGCGGAGGCTGGGGATGGGGACTTTGGGGATCTGGTGGAAGAGATGAGGTGGAGGGAGGATTTGAAGGAGCTGTTGTAGCGGGGTCTGCGATGGAGGATTTGGACATAGTGGATCAAGGAGATCGATAACTAATGGGGTATATCTAATAGCCCACGCGTGAAGGTTCATCAGCATATCATCAATCATACTCCAGTTCTCCTCGCTCCTTTAATGACGTATATTTGATTCGGCACTGCCCATACCGATTTCGGTGGCAACGACTTGGACTTCACTGCGTCTGGTACGCTGTTCCCCCGCGACTCTTTATTCCTCACCCTGCTGCTGCTCCTTCTCGTGGTGGACTCTCGTACGCCGTCCCCATTAATGGGCCGTCGCCATCGATGGACAATCTAGCACTGCGACTTCCACCGAATTTTTGGAAGAGATTTAAGAAGAGTGTCCTGCAAGCGGCGCGCGAGGTCGTGACGTAGATGACTGAGTTCCAGAAGCCCATAAGGGAAAGTACAATGCCAGCTGCGTACGCGTAGGGAACGGAGATGGACTCGGGGTAGATGAGAGAGTAGACGCGGTTGATGGAGGAGGGCACCCAGGTGACGAGCAGGGAGACGAAGAATAGAGAAGCCACTTTCGTGTAACCGAAAGCCGCTCTGTTGGCTTCCAGAGCTGCCCTGTTCTTCTTTTGTTGCTTGTATT